GCGCTTCTGGGGCTGGCTGAACGCCGTGTTCAACAAGTAAGCGCGGCGGCGTGCCCAGCGCCATTAACGGGGCCCGCCCGCAACGCTTCTGGCAGCGCGCGGTTTGGAAGCGGGGAGCGGGAGGTCCCGGGCCTGGAGAGAACATTTTCTGTTACCAGTGCTCTCCTCCTCCCCCAGATTGCGTGTGGCTGCTTGGCAGGGGGCGTGACTCCAGCCACAAAGCCATGGCCTTCCAGGGGAAGGCGCGTGCTTTGCTTGGACCCTCTCCCTCGACGCCCATCTGCCTTTGACCCCCGCCTGCGTTGAAACCGGTACCACAGCCGTGCCCTTTACTTGCTCAGAAAAGCATCTAACCAACCCATCGTTTACAGCGTGATTGAGCCGCACGAGGCTTTCACAGTTACTTTTAGAAAGATAAAGCCTTTCTCGATGAAACTTCCTCTGCCCGTAACTTTTGCCAGCAGCTAATAGCTTTGCCTTACGTCTTTTAGTTCGTGGCAAGGGTTGCATGGCGTGGCTGATGGCTCTAACGGGGTGGGAAGCTCGACCAGACAGGATTCTCTTCCAGGTCTCTGCTTCTGTCCTCAGCATTGCTCACCAGGCTAAGATATCCTTTAACTGAATGGATCCAGGGATTTTACCTAATTGCTGGAGGGTGTCTGCAATACTGTAATTGTTGAGAAGGCGGTTGCAGGAATGGCATGCATATGACTGGCAATGTTCAGTTTTTATATAATCAAAATATGTTTGGGGGACAAATTTGCAATTGTTGGAAAGCCTTAGTCTGGGTAGAGGAAGGCGTTTTTTATCTCTCCTTACAGACATGGAAGGAAACAATCAATCTGAAGGGTTAACACATGCCAAGTCAAGTTGCATTTGTATTCTTTCTTTTTTTACCAAAAGTAACTGCCATTTAAAACAAGTTTTAAAAAAACTTATGCCAGACTGATTAAGAACCAGCACAATCCAAATAATTCTGCAGAAACCACTTCCAGCAAATCATACTCTTGCTTTTCTGGCATCTTGCCATGCACATACCCAAATATTTGCCATGCAGTATTATTGTCGTAAAGACAATTAATCGTAAAGACAATTAATCTGCCACATCGTAGAAGCCATGTGAATGTTCTTTCTGTCTTGGCAGAGTGGACTACGAACGCATACAAGCCGTCGGCCCTGACAGGGCAGCCTCAGAGTGGCTGGTGCGGTGCGGCGCCCTGGTACGCTATCAAGGCTATCAGGAGTGGCTGTTGCGATGCGGCGCCCTGGTACGCTATCAAGGCTATCAGAAGTGGCAGCAGGACTACAACGGTCTCCCAACGGGGCCCTTGGGGAAATACAAGATAGAAGCAATTAATGCCACTGACTCCTGCATCATGTACAGAGGATTTGACTATCTGGGTAAAGCAGACGCAGCTGTGCAGAGATTATACTGAATGGGCTTAGTTCTTTCAGTTGCATTCATTTTCTTGTTCCTTAGTAAGATACAGAGAACTCTTTTGAAATCGTTTGTTCTTTGTCTTTTTTTTTTTTCTTTTTTCCTTAAAATGGCTCTACCAATATTCAGCAGTTCCTAAGATTTTGCTGGAGGTGTGGTACGAAGTAGAAGGAGATTGGGAACTTCATCAGCCCTTACCTGAAGTGACAGTAGCACTAAGGAACTGCCACAGAGATTTGCTGTTTCATTGAGTTCATAGTTAAGTAGCTGGTAGCAAAAAGCACTACTGTAAATCTTCTTTTCCTTTTAAACCAAGTGACGTTCTTGGTGCCTGTGAAGTCATAATACTGCTTGTTCTCCAGGCATTTATGATGTCTTCAAAGACAAAAAAAAAGCAGCAAGTTCTCAGTTCCTTACAAAATGAAAAAGAGATTGTTTCAGGTCTCCTTTGAATAACAAAAATCAAAACGGGGAGCAGACCATTTTATTTTTTTATTGGCAGGGGACCTGAAACTTCCTGCATTAGTACATTCCTAATTCAGAGTCATGGTTTATCTCCCAAACTTGTAGAGCTTTTTTTGTTACTTGCCCGTGTCAAAGCTCTTAGGATCTTACCAAAAGGATACAAACCCTGAGGTTTTCGTCTATTTGAAGTCCCATAAAGGGACTTTGGAGCTTCCTTGTGCATTATGGCCTCACTGCATAGAGGAGCATGTTGGAGGCAGTTACTAAATTGGTGAGTGAGAACGAGTACGGGTTGTTCCTGGTATTCTGAAGCAAGTACTCATTTTGGTCTTTCCAGATGGTCTTGAACACGTTACAGAAATCACGCTGCAGAAGTGTATTTACATACAGGACCAGTGTCTGCAGAGGCTCAGCGAGACGAAGAATCTACAGAAGAGTCTTCTCCAGCTGAAGATAATTTCCTGCGGGAACGTCACAGATAAAGGCATCATTGCACTTCACAAGCTGATGTACGTGAGCTGCTCAGGTCTTCTTGCTCCCCTAGCTGTTACCCGCCCCGCGGTTTTGGGATTGTGTTGAGCGAAGGGCTAAAGTCGGAATGTGTCTGGGCTGTTTCAGACGTTGGGGGGGCTGTGGGATGGCTGGGGTTGGGGACTGACCCGAGTGACTGCCTGGGAGGGATGGCACTGCCGCTGCAGGAAATGTTTCTTCAAGCGTGGTTGAAGACAGTGTCGTGGATAGCTCTGGAGAGACATGGGGACTAACGTACACGTATTAATCAGCCCTTCAAGGCTGGTGTTGGGGAGCTGTGTCGCACCGAGGCCTGGAGCTGAGATAGCCGGAGTCATCTGCTGCAGCGCCTGAATCCATAGCTGCGCTTCCGCCTTCAGCCGAGCGCGGCATCTCCCCTTTCCTCTTGGAGTAACTTAGGCAGCGTTGACCGCTGCGCAAATTAGAGCGGGACGCATGCTCTCTGCCCGCGCACCACCTTCGCGAGAGCAGTGAATGTGTGCAGCTCCTTTCCGCGTTGGCGCACGAGGTGGCTTTTCCTTGAGAATAAGGAACAGACGATCGCCTTGGTTTCTGCTCCTGACCCCGCTGCTACAGTTGCTTTTCAGGGCAGGCTTTGACACTGTCCTGTAACTTTTATTGTCTTCCTACACCTCTCGCTGCTTCCCATCACTCGGTTTATCTCGTGCTCTCTGGCGCCGGAACGGTCTCGGGGCAGAGCTGTGTTTTCTAGCGCTCGGGCACGGCTAGCAGTATGGGCTGGATCCCGTGCGCCTCGGAAGCGCAGCCGTAGGAGCTTTGC